TTCTGTTTGCAGGCCTAACAATTATCAACATCGTCTTTGAGCATATGTAATAAGGAAGACAGAGATAGTAAAGATGAACTCTCAATTATTTCAGGCATTCCTTTTAGAGCAGTGATTTCAGAGATGCTTTTCTCCACCGAGAAGAAAAGAAATAATTATGGGCCAAAAATAGTTATTGGTGTCTTATTCCCAGATGACAGAAGTGGTTATGTGAATACATTTTCTTTTGGGGTTTTATAGCACGGTAAGGTTTACAGCACTGTTTGAAGCTCTGTAAGAAGTTGCTGAGTACATGGGCTAGCTGGATACAGTTCCAAATAAGTTCTTAGTAAGTACAGATGGAAGGTGGTTACTTGGCTGTCCATGCCTGTGGGAGACAAAAGGCATCCCAGTCTACTCTGAACACCTACCAGGATGGCCTACTGAGTATCCTGCAGCTGCCATTTCTCTTACTCCATAAATAATAAACGTTTTGGATGTCAGGGCAGGAGGCAGACAAGTGGGAAATTCCTAAGTTTTGTTCTTGTCTTTGTGTGCTAGTGTGAAGAGTGCAGTGTGTAATGCATGTAATACCATGCACAACCTCAGCAGTGCAGAAATGCACTGCAATTAGAAGATAGTGGGCAATAGTGCCTAAAAGTTGTTTTGGTAAAATATTTGAAATGAGGCTGTTTTGTGTAGCCAAATACAGTGCTGCTTTTTGCACTCCATTCCAGTGATAGCCAGAAACTAGTTCAGGGCATGACATAGGTTGAATTAGCTGCTGATCTACTTCAGTATGTGTTGGGATAATCTAGTTCTGTGAGCCCAGACTCATGATAAAAGATCAATCCTGCCCTTTCTGCCTGTGAAACTGTAGGAGTGTGGAGTAAGTGTTCTCTTCTATTTTTGCATGGCCAGTCATGGCACCTTAAAACGATTACAGCCTTTAGCTGCTTTGTGTCTTCCCTCCACCACCCTGCTTGCTGGTAGAGCTGTTTGAGTACTCACCTGTGCCACTTCAGTTTAAATTAACCACATTAGCAAAGACCTACTATTGACCAGTCCACTGTTAAAGCTAATCTGGCTCATTTTGACAAGAGAGTCAGGCTACAAGAGCAGCAAAGAAGGATGGTGAAAAACAGATGGGGAAGTAACTTCTTCAGCTGGAACCAAAAGATCTGAATCCATGCCTCCTTGAGAGTGTGACTCATGGGGTTTGCATCAGAGTACCTTATACACTGGAGGAGGCAAGCTTTAAACTACATTCTGACCATGCTGCTTTTTACTGCATTAACTAAAAAGAACATACTGCAGCTGAAGCAGCCAACCCGACAGAGCTCTTTGTTTCTCTGCTCAAACAGCAGTGCTTTCTGGTGTTCCCTCGGGGTCTCCTTTGCCAACTGCCTAGTCTTAGTATGTGATGTAGTTCTGTGTTTGTGGTATGTGTGTTTGTATTGTCATTCGATGCGATATTGTGTCAGATACTGCTATTTCTATTTCATCTATGAAATACATACCTTTTAAGAGAAACTCAACAGACAAGAGAATGGTTTGAGGGCAAACTCCCCTCTACAGTTTCTACATATCTCATATATGACAGCTGCACTTAATGTCATTTCTTCACCACTCTAAAATCACAGAGATCTCTCATTTCTATCTGCAAATTAGAACAGGATTTTTTTTTCACCTGATTCTGCTTTCGCTTAGATCAGAATAAATAAGAAGTAGCTGCACTGAAGAGAAAAAAATATATACTAGTTTGAGACTACTGTGAGCTTGGGAGGTGGTGACAGTCTCAGTCTATTTGCTGTTGAAAAGTAATTCATGTTTTATGGTCCTTTGCTCCTTGCTATTTCCTCATCTTCACATATATTCGATGCCTTGATCATAAACATCGAGGACAGTTGTTCTTTCTTGTATAAACCGCTCTCTGAACTCATGCTCAGCACAAAACCTAGCTGAGTGTTTGCCTTTGGAGGCCTGCCCAGTGCATCTTCTATACTCACTGAGTCAGAAAGGGACTGTCTTAACAGCCTCATTTTACATACGGTTACAACTTGCTCTGAAGTTTTAACCACCCAGAAGCACACTGGCAAGCTCCTGCCTCCCAGGCAGTTTAAATGTAATGATTGACATTCTCTACGCATCCAAGAAAGTTTCCTCTAAGAATGCATGTTAATTTAATGGAGAGCAGACCATTTTCATCTCGTTATTCAGAAATGGCCTGATTTCTGCCAGGCATGCTGTTTGAATTTCTCAACTGTTACCCAGCTATTACAGCTGGACCATCCTGCCACAGTTGTGTTGTCTGTCATCCCCTGACTGCCGCCAGTGATAGCACTCACAGCACAATTTCTTCCTATTTCAGATTCTCATCTTTGTATACTGAAAACTCCTGTCTTCTCCACTTGTGTTTATGGACTTAACATTCACTGGTGAAGCAGTCATTTTTTCCCAGCTAATGTCAGTCAATATCTGTGAAATCCCAGCATGTATGTAGTTCAGGTTTCTCTAGAAAAGTATTGATGTCAGAAACATACAAATTTAAAACACCTGTTTTCTATGCTCCCCTCCATTTCCAATGAAAAGCATGTGATTTATAGATTTAGTAGTTTCACGTAAAGCCCCAAACTCTTTTCCCATTCGGTGCAGTTTAAAGAAAATCAGTTATCAGCTTGGCTTTTTACCATCAGTCATGACTGAGAAGCCAAGAAAGAGCTTGGTAATCCATGAAAACAGAGTCTGTTGCTCACCAGTATTATCCTCGGTTAATCTGTGACATTATTTTTCATGTACCTGGTTTTTAATCTTCAATGAACCAATATTATTGCACAGAGTAAGATATTTTTGCCATCTTCTAAAACTATACTCTGTTTCACACTGAAGGAAGTATTTTGAGAAGGAACATGGATTGAATGAGAGCATCATAATTTAACGTGGGATCTTTTTTTCCACTAGTAACCAAGCTGAACAGCAAAAGTGTATTCGGCTATCAAAAGAAAGCTAGCAAAACATTATCTTTGAATCAAAATTTGTGGTATGTCAGAAATTGGTACCAATGAACTACATAGTTTCAAGGCTAGATTTGTACTGTGAAGGCCCAAGACCTGTCAGAGCATGACACAGAAACTTGAAATGGTGGATGAAAGCTTTAGAACACTTTTAAAACAACATATTTCAGCTTACTGGAATTCAGATTTTCTTGGGTAAGTCTCACTTTCTCTCTGCAATTGGATGGGGAAGGGAGATACATCTGAAAGACATTAAAACAGGATAAAAGTGAATAAAGTATTACCTCCAGAATGACAGAGTGGAGTTTTAAATTATAAGAAACTAAGTTTACTTTTAACATCTTGAAAACCTCTTCTAAATTTAAAAAACATATTCACCTCTGCCATAAGTTCTGTCATGCTTTCAATGACAAAAGTTTCAGCCAAGATAAAATGTTTCAGAGATAAGAGACTCAATCCATAAAATTTCTGGTACCACTTGTACTTAACATTTCCAAGTACCTATGAACAATCTCCTTTTTAGGAGTCCATTTGTTTATATTAATTTAAAGATGTACTCTGGTTTTCAAAACACTCAACTCCCAGCGATTTCTGGTTTTCTAAACCATGCATGCTAGAGGTTTTGTTACTTACAACAGTTAAGCAAGTGCCCTGACTGGGAGAGGTGCTTGGTTCTCTGTATAGTTTGCTGTTGGTTTGGGTGTCTGAGCATGGGGATGGGTGCCCACTGTTTTGCAAGTCTTAGGTTAAATTTCCCATAATCAAGGGCAACAGATGTCATCTAAGCTTCCTTATCAGGTAAAAAGTTCTCACTTTATCTTCTCTGTGAAAGTCTGTAACTGTGAACATAGGTAACATTCGTTCGCTATGTGCCTTCCCCTCTTTTGAGAACAACCTGCGCGGTGACAGTTGTGTGGGGCTGTGGCAGTAGCCGGTAGGGACAGAAGGAGCTCTCTGCTGTAGGGAAAACTGCTGCTGTGTTTTATTTAAAAATATATGTGAGGCATTTGAGGTATTTGAGGAATCAGGATTCTCTCTGGAAAAGAGCAAAGATACTGGTAAATACTTTTGAGGTCACTAGTAAACATCAGTCACGCTAATTGTTGATTTACTTGTTGAGAGCAGCCCTGAGGAGAAGGACCTGGGGCTGCTGGTTAACAAGAAACTTGTCATAAGCAAGCAACGTGCATTCACAGCCCAGGAAGCCAGCCACAACCTTGGCTGCATCAAAAGCAGCGGGGCTGGCAGGACAAGGGAGGGGATTCTGCCCCTCTACTCTGCTCCTGTGAGGCCCCACCTAGAGGCCTGCATTTAGTCCTGGGGCCCCCAGCACAAGAAGAACATGGACATATTAGAACAAGTCTGGAGGAGGGCCACAAAGATGATCAGAGGGCTGGAGCACCCCTCCTATAAGACAGGCTGAGAGAGCTGGGGTTGTTCAGCCTGGAGAAGGGAAGGCTCTGGGGAGACATCGTTGTGGCCTGCCAGTGCCTGAGGGGCCTACAGGAGAGCTGGGAGGGACTCTGTCAGGGAGTGTGGTGGAAGGGCAAGGAGTGATGGATTTAAACTGAAATAGGGTAGATTTAGAATAGATGTTAGGAGGAAATTATTTGCTGTGAGGGTGGTGAGGCACAGGACATGCTGCCCAGAGGAGCTGTGGATGCCCCATCCCTGGAGGTGTTCAAGGCCAGGCCGGTTGGGGCTTTGGGCAGCCTGGTCTGGTGGGAGGTGCCCCTGCCCATGGCAGGGGGGTTGGAACCAGATGGTCTTTAGGGTCCCTTCAACCGAAACCATTCTGTGATTCTGCCTGAAGCCACCGACTGGAGACTTGAGGTAAAAATGACAGCAGCAGCACCCTAACTCAGCGAGTCACCTAGGCACAGTGCTGCATGTAAGCATGTACACACAGCTAGGCCAGCATTTCAATGCTCTGCTCCGTGAAAAACTGATGCACTCAAAAGATAACCATTTTCTTTCTTCTCTCTCTCTCTCCTGCTTTGTTCCTAGGCTTTCTCTCACAACTTGTCTACGACCGGCCAGTGACCGAGTGCATCCGAGCTGGACATTACGCAGCCAGCGTAATTATCAAGCGCTCAGGTTGCACCTTCCCAGAGAAGCCCGACTTCCACTGATACTGGTGAATTGGAGGGATCAACAGTAACTCCCATGTCGCCGTGGGATCGCTGCCTAATTTTTCCTCCTTCCCTTCCCTCACCTTTCCAATTACCTGCATCAACGCTTCTGTACTTCTGTTCATTTTATTCTAAACAAAATATGTATTTCTATGGTGTGTTTCTTTCCGTACCATTACCATGTCTCACTAGTCTTAACTTTTGGAAACAGTGCTAAGTGAAGCTTTTTCTCCCATTCATCTGGAAAAAAAATGTTCTCTTGACACAGATTAAAAGAAAATCCCACGTATATGACACTGCTGATTAACACCAGTAAAATATTTCTATTGAATTACCTAGTTTTATCTAGCTGTGACCAAATCCTACACAACGTACTTGAAATCAACAAACCTGACTTTGTGTGTAACGTAATGTTGTAAACCAGGAATAGTTCTTTCTGTATAGTGGAGTCACAGTAGTGTTAAGACCAATTTTGAATATCCCAAGATTTTCCTTAACTGTTTGAGTGTACAAGTGTTTTGAGTGTACATCATATCCAGCCCAGCTTCCATGAAAGCAAGTAGCTATTTTATCAATAATTTAAGGAACGTGATCCAAAGCTGGTGCCGTGCATTCAGTGTTCTTACACTGATGCCAGTAACTTTGGGTCTGGCACTAACGTGAGAGCAGGTCCTGTTCACCATGCTGTAACTTCACATTGGGCTGTCAGGTGAGCCAGCAGCTAGGTACATGCGGTGATTTCAGGACAGAGGTGTGAGCTGCTGATGGACATAAACATACAGCTAGATCCTGTCTCCTCAATGTGAACTCTCTGGAGGCTGTATTTAATTAAGGTACACATAGTGAAAATGAGGTACAGAAATATTTATGCAGGATATATTGACAGGATATGCCAAACGGAATCTCTGAAACGCACATTTTTAAACTTTTAATTTACTTTGGATAATTAAGCAATATGGTGGATTTTGTTTGTATTTACAGTATTCAAAGAGGTGATCTGATACTGCATTCATTACTTTGCTATGTAATTTGATACCGATAAATAAAAAATTGTCGTACAGTAATTCCTGGTTTTGTATTGTTATGAATCCGGCATTCCTCCAAGTATCGTACTGAATCAGAAGCAGGAAAAGGGCTCTTAACCCACAGTACATGTTAGAGCTCTGCGTTTGATCCATGACTTTCCGTGTCCAGGTGGATGTTCAAGAGTGAGCTCAGCACTAAGGAAGGAAGGAAGGAACATCAGTGTTGTGTTTATATACCACGGGGAAGATGAAAAATTAATGGCTAGGGTTCATCAAAGAATGGTAAGCCTGCACAGTCAGGCTTCACATTCTACTGTAAAGCGCAGACCAAGGGACACACAGAGATCTATTGTTATCACACTGTTGATGCATTGCATGGGGAGAAATCACAGCTGTGGTCCTGATTCCCTTCTTTCTTTGGCCCAGTACCTGGTTTGATGCATAGGAGAACAGGCTCTGTCTTCTTAGAGACCCCTGGTGGGATTCCTGCAAGTTTCAAACCAGCTGAAAATTGTCATAGGGCCATGGAACCCCATCATCACAGGTGCAGATCGCTGTGCTGTGAGTATGGACTGTTCTTCAAGGACTTGGGCTCACAGTTTCTAGGTGAAAAGCATTGCATGCACAGGCCTTGTCTATCTGTGGAGCTACTCGTGAACAGCTTTGTACAAACTAGACTTGGCTGGTTTTTCAGCAGTACTACTCTCAAAGAAGTTTGGGCTTTGCACTTCTCACATTCTATCATAGGGGAGAGGGAGAAATACACTGAAGTGAAAACGTAAGAGAAAACGAAACTGAAAGAGACTACAGTACGTGGTCTTCAGCCTTTATGGGTTGATCAGAATAATGTTATTTTTTACATCTCACAGTTATCATTTAATCCTTTAAATTGATATATCCATGCAGTATATTTTAATCAAGAAAATCTGAGAGGGGGAGGAAGGATGTGCTGCAGTCTCTGCTTTTAATGTGTGGTCACGTATGCCACACCATCCTTACTGCATGAATTTGTCTGTCAGTAAGGAAAGACCAATGATCTAGTGGTTAAATCTGCTGTTCCTTTGCTCTGTATCAGTGACACATTCCATTCCTTTCATAAAAACTTTATCTATATCCTGGACAGATAGTTATGTCTCATTTAAATTAGAATTTAAATATGTAAATGTTCTCTGCTATAACAATGGAACTAAAAGACAACATAACTAGTGAAAAGGAAGGGAGGGTATGTAAAGGAAGGGAGTTGTAACATAGGGGTTTTTTCTTCCTTTATCTAGGCCGTTTCTTGTTTTCAATTCAGGATGCAAGAGAGCAAAGTCAGAAGTTCTGTTCTGAGCTTTTCCACTGACATGCTTGGTGAGCTTGGGCTCCTGACATTTGGCTCTGAATGTCAGCTACAGAGCATAATTTGAAGGCAGTGGGAGCAGCTGAGGAATAAACTACTACCCAATTCATGGAAGGGCATCTGAGTCTGACCTGCTCTATTTAACCATTCATTATTTCTCCAATATCTGTCAATGGATATGCCTTGATGATATATGGATACTTAGAAATGTATTGCCAAATCATGCTAAATAACTTGAACCTGTGCTGTCAAATTGCCTGGTGATTTCATTGAGAATTCTTTTCAGGATCTATACTCCTCTCCTGCTTCTCACCGATGAAGGTTTTTTTGTGTATATAATGGATAACGTTGTCATCCTTAATCTTCTTTTTCACATCTATTTTTTCACTGTTGTCCTCTACCAACTTCTTCTGCACAGGGGCACGTTAGAAAACTGGACTTCCTGAAAACCATATCATTGAAAGAATTGTCTGCAAGTGACATGCCCCATTGTCTCAAATCCCAGATGGGAAAACTGAAGTGAGCCTGTCACTGAGCTTGAGCCATCACTCAAACCCAAAGTTCTGAGCTGGGATACTTTCAGAAAAAACAGTAATGGAAATCCACCTCCGCTAGCTGCTGGCCAAAACATGTTACCCTCACTCAGATAAAACTTCTATTTTCTTGGGAATAAGAGTGTGTCTCCTATGCATCACGCATTTTAGGCTTGATTTCATACCACATGAAGTGTATTGCAATGCTGCTGAAACCAACAGGCAAGGAAATCAGACAGTTGTTCACAAAGCCACATGCTAAAGAGCTGAGAAGAACAAGATCTGGGAATCAGGAAATAAAGGTTATGTTTCCATTTCTGCAAGTGATTTACTTTGTTATTTGGGGCAGATTGGCACTTTGCTTTCTGAATCCGTTTCCTTCTGTAAAGAAGATGGTAGGCTCAATAAGGTGGTAAACTCAAAAGATGAAGCTGGTAGGAATTTGAGTATAGCAGTATGAGCCACGTCTCAGCCTGTACTCACTGCTCATCTTTTAGTTTTCCCTTTTGTATATGAAGTTAAAACTGTTTACCGTTAAAATAGTGATAGCTGTTACTACTTGTTAGAGGGTTAAGACAAGGAAGGCAAAGATGAAAAAAGGAAAGGAAAAAAGCTTTACTGTAAAATGTGCTACATGAAAATGACAATAGAAATGCACAGTGTTTTAAGATGACAAGTCTGGGAACAATCTTTAATTTAAAGGGTCTTATCCACAGTTTTCATAAAGTAATGTTAATTAAAAGTGTGATGACATGTTTGGGATTTAAAGGAAATCATTCTGCGAAGGATTTATAGCAATCACAGCTCCAGAGCATTAGGATTACAGATCCTTGTGCTGTTCCTTTTCAGTGATCATGTGATTGGCCTGTTGTTAAATATAGCTTCCATTTAGTGAATTGAGACAGGCATGGGAAAGGTAGGGATAGTTTCTCTCTAACCAGCGGGATTTCAGAGGTGTTGGAGATTATACATTTCATTAGTTTTTACATAAGATCAAAGGGAGAGAGGAAGTCTTAATTTGGGCACCAACTGCTACAGCCTGAAAGTCTTACAGATTAATGAAAAGTGAACATGTGCAGCGCTAACTGCTTGTATTAGAGCATGAGCCTATTGTTTTATATCTCACTAACTCATTGTTCTCTTCCTGGAGATAATTCTCACACTTAAGACCTTCTGAGATAGTTCTGTCTATTGTGAATAGTTCAGCAACCAACTGGCTCAGAGGTTATTGCCTAAGCATCTTTCCCTTGGTCTAATCCCCTGCAAGGGTTTTTCTGAGCAGTGTTGTTAATCTAAAATGACTGCTAACTGACTCCTGTGTCAAACATTATTCATTATGCGCTTTAAATGCTTCCTGCAGAGGCCAAAATAAATTTTGCTTTTTAAAAGCAGACCACAAGGAGTGCCTATATAGGATACCTCCAAAAAGATTAGACTAAAAATAGCAGTTAAGATGCTGAGGACACACACACACACACACACAAGCGCGTTCCACTGTACTCCAAACAAAGCTTCACAATTTAACCAGGGACACACAAAACGTACAAACCTCAGTCACCAAAACCTATTTTCACATAGATATGTCTATAAGCTATTCCTGTGGGAAAGAGCACACACCCTTGCAGGGCAGGAGAAATGCCTTTATAGAGCAATTGAATAACCTACATTATTAGAAAATGAAGGCCAAATAAACAGAAATGTAAAAAGCAATAATTCTTTTGTGTCTTTTTTTTTTCCCCAGGTGTCACTGGTGTTGGCATAAAGGGAGAGCTTTTTTTTGTGTCAGTGCCACTGACAGGCCTTGCATGCGTAATGACAGTATGGGGAGAGAGACAGACAGATAGATTTGAATAGCAATAAGGTGGGTTTTCTTCCCAGTGTGAAAAGAGCATGGGATTCATGTGTACTGAGATGAAGTATAGCCTTGCTGCACAGTGCAAATATTTAATGCTCTTCTAACTATCCCCTGGTTATTGGAGTGTGACAGTTAATAGCCATCAGCTGCCAAACCCAGTGAACAGTTTGGGTCCCTAAAAAGAAAATGAAAAGTTAAAAAATGAAGCCAAGTCAGACTAGAAACCTGCAAATCATAAATGTGCTATAGCTTAGCAGGCAGATCATCTCCAAAGTTCAGAGCAATGTCGACCTGAGCTGCTTCTCAAATGAGAGAAGGACCAAGTTCATCTGTCTTCTGGTCTGAGCTTTGCCATGTACTTGCAAGCAAGCGTTGGCTGGGCTTCCTGCTTTCCAAGGCCCTGTTACTCCCCAGTGATGTTTTTAAAGGAGACTGAATAAAGTCTGGAATGAAGAAAAGCAAAGCATTAGCATTACTCTGGATCAAATATCTCAAGCCAGTGGTACAGCATAAATGCATAGAAAAATTGAAGAGCTCCTGAACGAAGTATGAGAGAAATCCTGTGCTTGGAAGTCCTCCTTAGCTATGGTGCCATGGAAATGTTAACATTGGTGTAAAATATTACCCTTAAAGAAGTATTGCTGTGGAATCATAACAGCATATGGGAGTATTTCAAAGAACAGATTCAGCTTGAAAACTACCTGTCATTCCACATGTTTTTCTTAGTAATGCTAGAAGTAACACTTCACTGTGCTTAAAAAATGCTCTGTTTTTGAATGTCTCTTTTTTGGGTCCTTGGGAATATGCAATTTCCCTCTGCCCCTACATATTTGCTGGCAGTTCTCATCGCGTGTCTGGAAGTGCCAAACGCAGGTGATCAGACAGCCTTGCTCTCCAGGCTGCCTCCAGAGGAGAGGTTGGAGCAGGGGGCTGAAGCGCACCCGCAGGCACCTCTTCGATACAGGGAGGAGGCAGGAAGGCTGTAAGGCTGTTAGCCATCTAAAACAGGAGCTCTTCTCTGGCCTCTCCCCTAGTTTGTGTGCAGTTTTCACACAAATGGAGGAGGAGGGAAAAGAAATAGCAAATAGGCAAATATATAAAGCAGTGAAATCTATATCCATCAGAAAAATGACTCGGGAGTTAATTACTCCCATCTCAGTTTCTTAAAATTACTTGGGTTGCAAGCTAATGATGACTCTCTTAATATTAATTAATACTGGTGATATAGCAACAAATCCCATTGCTCACCTGCTGATTGGGTGGCACTTCCTTTAAACTACACAACCTTTTGCTGCCAGTGGATTGATCT